TTAAATCACCAAGAAACTCTTCATTCCCTATATGAAAGTGGAAAAGTAAAAAAGCTATAAATAATGATAATGACAATAGTTATAACATATGATTTCTAGTTGATGAGAAGAATTCAATCCAAAATGAAAATATACGACGTGTTCACTACATACCTTATGTCCTCTACATATGTCCTGGAATCTGAACCTTCAAAATAATCTCCATGCACCTATCACACCAAATGTAAATGATAACATTACTTTATTTGATTGATTTTATTTAATGCAAAAAGAATTCTGGAACATGTCCAACCAATTCATTTAAACTTTATTGGAAGATGTAAGAATTGCAATATTTATATCTTTTTATTTAATGCAAAAAGAATTCTGGAATATGTCCAAGCAATTCCATATAAACCACTAATTGGAATCGACTTTTATCAAGAAAATCTAACAAACTATTTTTAGGCAGATAAGAATTATGCAAGAGAACACATAAATGTTGTTTAATAAAAAAAGAGTTTTAAAGTTTTATAGATAAATTACAAGTATAATTAGCTTTCAAAAGAAATAAATGGAAATCGAGTATTTTATGGGGAAAAATGCCTAAATTAAATTCTAACCGGAAGGATTTTGTTAATTTCAATCGAATTTGCAACCAATAAAAGGAATTTAATAATAAGAGTCAAGAAATAATAAATTGGATTTGAAAAAAAAAAACCTTACTTTCATCAATCTGTCGAGGTCAAACTTTGGTGCCTTCAAGATGTTAACCTTGCGAATGAAAACAGTCGGCAGAGGATTGATGTTGGATGTTGCCTTCTCAATCGCTCTTCCAATAGATTCTGGAATGAACTTCTGAACTAGCTCTTTCGAATCACAAGACTATGCATGCTTTACCATTATCTCCCTCATCTTCCTTCGGATTTATCAAATCACAAAAATTAATTTTTCTATAAATATAATGTTATATGTTGTTGACATCAAACCTATATAAAACGTTCTTATAATTCATGGAAAGAAAGTTATTAGCTAACTACTTGAAATTAAATTGATTCGAAATATATGAACAAAAGTGAAAATTTATGACAATACCTGCATGTACTAAAATGTTGTTTAACAACTAATCAAAATTTTCCCAATTGCAGTCCCAATCTTGGGGATTTGTTTTCTAGATGTCTTGAGTACAATTGTCTACTTTGTTCTTTTTAATAGTCTTAAGACCTGAAAGGAACACATCTCACAATTATAGTCACTACATCACACACAAAACAATAAGATTACAAAAACTAATAACAAGAGTAGAGAAACATATAAGGAAATAAAACACTTTCATCCAAAATAGTAAAACTTGGAAACAAAATCATTCAGAAGGGCATATTTGTCCATTTGAAATACACTTTCATTGGGGATTCTTATCAAACACATGGTATGCGTCCCCTGCCTCATGTGATCTTCACCAAAGTAGCTGAAGAAGACTTCCACATAAAAAAGCTAATGTTCCATCAGTTTTGAAAATATCAGAAAAAGGCAATAATTGCTTGAAGTACCAGAAGTTGTTACATACGTGTGGAAAATTTTCAGCATTTCATTCCAGTTGTTGGTTTACCCACCTGATATCATCAAGATTACAACAATTAAAATAATAAAATAGCTTCAAATATGGAAAATAAAAAAGATAGACGTATGGGAAGTGGGAAGTCATTACTTTATTAGGCTTCCTTTGAGGTCTATACGAAAGGAATTCATCAAAACTCAAATCTGTCAAACGATCACCGTGAATCCCTACGAAAATCAAAGACGAAAGAAATTGAATCGGTGCCTGATTGATTAAACGTGTGATGAACCCAGAATCAGACCCTAAGATTTGGTTGTTTATTGATAGCTTCTGGATGGAATTGTGAGCGGATGTGGAGACAAAGGGTTTGTGAAAAAAATGAAAGTCGGTGGGGTGGTATGAAAAGGTTGTAGAAGCATTTGGGTCGGTCATTGAATATGATTGGGAAAGAAGGGCAATGCAGTCGGTGGAAAAGGATGATACAACAACACATCATAAGGAGAAAATAAACACGTAGATGGCGGTGCCATACTTGATGACACCTGTAATCCATTAAGAAATACATAGTTATGCATAGAACTTAATTGTGAGGTAATAACAAAAAATAGATAAAAAAAAAATTTTAAAAGGAGCCAATCAGATGAAAGTACTATTCACCAAGGAGTTGTATATATATATATATATATATATATATATATATATATATATATATATATATATATATATATATATAAATTTGAAAAAAATAATAATCATATTATTAATCTTTATCACATAATTTGACCTAATCTACTTTCTTGACAAGATAATTCAATTGAAAATACAAATAATTAATCTTTATCATGTAAAACAAGTAATTATCTTATTTATGATAATTATCTTTGAAGTGTATTAGGATAATCAATATCATATTGGAAAAATCGGATTTTATCAGTCAAAAACGTTTTTGGTAATTATCCTAATTCAATTTCAGTCAAAATCCCGAAAAATCAGCCAACTGACGACCCGACTCGCCGGGTCACTGAATGGACTCGTTAAGTTTCCCTAACTCGTTGAGTTCATCAAGTGGCTCGACGAGTTCATCAGTCAGAAGCACAAATTTTTTTGATTTTCATCTTTGAACAAATTAGCAATGCATCAAATACAAAAGAAAAACGACCTAGGCTCTGATACCATTGTTGAGTTATAAGCAAAACATCAATCCTATGGTGCACATGCAAACCCTAAAGCTTTGGATCTACGTTTTTCTGATTGTACATGCAATAATCATCCAAAGCTCTCAAACACTAAAACTAACATACCAAAATCGAAATTAACATCTAATAAACAAGTTAGAAAGTTACCTTTGATTGTAGCTTGATGATCTTTGAGCTTTTGAGAACCTAACACCTCAAATATGATGCCTATAATGAATCGCAAACACCAAAGAAATTGGAGAATGTTAGAGAGAGGGGAGGAGGAATACTAAAATCGGCTCTAAGATCCTTAGGGTTCAAGTGGTCGAAATTTAGATTCCCAAGGGGTCTTTATATAGGTGAGGAATTAGGGTTTAAGTTAAAGACCTAATCTGGTTGCTTAGGCTTTAAGTAGCCCATAAGAATCTTCCAAAACCCTAGCCCTTGGACGAAATCCTTATGGGCTCCCATAGGATTTCGTCCAACCCTTTCCAAAGTGTTCCTCAGTCCATTATGCAATTATCTTATAATTATAACTTCAGTCCCCTTAATTCAATTAACCTCTTTTGACCAGAGAATTAATTCTAAATTAATTATTGACCAATGTTAATTAATTAATATGATTTCTCATTTAATATATTATTCACATAATATATTAATACACCATAATAACCTTTTTTACACTGCCTATGGTTTCTCTTTACTATGATTTTTAGAATGTTACACCCATCACCTGGTGCACCAGCCAAAAGATTACCTAACATCCTCTATCTCTATACCTGCTTTCCAATATTGTCCTCGCTAATATCAACCATATTACCAGTAGAACTCAAGATCGCTTTTACGTTGAGTGTGGGCCCTGCTAAACATGGTGATCGTGCTCTCCTTAATGTCCTCTAGAAGCTCAGATGAACTGACCTATATGCTCTTTAACAAACTCAGCATGGAGGAGTTCACCAAGGGATCCTCAAGAAAATGAGTGTCCTCCATAACCAAAGTCTTCTTCACTTGCATCTCTTAAGGTTGGTTAGGGAGAGTAATGTATTTGACTCTACTCCACACCTATTTCAAAAAAGACAAACATAAACGAAAGGATTTATCATATCTATTTTTTTCTTTTAAAATGGGGGAGAAGAGAACATAAATGAACTTTTCAAATGAAACGAACCAACTACTCGCAAGATGATTGTTATTTGCTAAATAGGATCCTATCAAAGGATGTTGGGAAATCTACAGCGTTGTTTTCTCTTCAACGTGAATCACAATATTAAAGAATTTTTAAGATGTATGTTAGTTTTTTTTCTACGATAACCTTCATCTTAGACGTATAGAGTAAATGACGATAAGGCTAGGCGAAATTAGGTTCATCGCTACGATTTAGTAATAAAATTTATAACTGCAACTATTTATTGTTGAACGGCACGCCAAAAACAATTAAATCATTAATACTCGCAAGGAAATAGTGGTGATAGTGAATCATTAATACTATCTAAAATAGTATATGCGAAGAGTAAAATAATCTTGCTAAACATTATCAGTTTGCTTTTTGTCAAATAAAGATTTCTTGCGAGTTTGTGTTCAAATTTACATGGAACTTATGATCATTTGGTTCAACACAAAGAATAACCTATCTTTGATCGAACGAATGTCACTCACTATGTTCACCCCCACACCGTGTCAACTAAGGAACTTGTTTTTTATTTTTTTAAACACAAAATATGCTATTTCAATATATGATCATTATAATATAACCAATAATTCAAAGGCTTAATGAAAACAAGTTTACCATTGTTAAAAGCTCTAATATACATGATAATTTTTTGTGCAAAAACATGTTGAAAAACAAATGTGAATAAGATATATTTTTCATTTTAATACTGGAAAGATAACTATGTAAAGTTGCAAAAAGAACCGTGATCACAAACCCCGATAAAGAAAAACCGGTTTAGAATCATCCAACAAATCTTTAACGATTAACGATACATAAATAACAATATAATATAAAAAAGAAAATTAGCAACCCGACCCGACCCGAACTTACCGACACCCAGCAGTGAATAGTCCGGATTTGACGCCTTAACTGCCGGTAGGACCCATACAAAAGGGAAAATGGTACGACCGTAAATAACTGAAGTCAGCAAGCGTATAACTGTAAATTCATCCTTACAATCTCCAGTGTATGTTACCCGTGTTTCCTTTGTCGCCTTTTTGAGCCTCGTTATATACCGATGTGAAAAGCTCAGTCCTAACACCGTGGAAATCCAACTCTGTAAACCCAGTGTCGGCATTCTCTCTCTCTCTCTCTCTCTCTCTCTCTCTCTCTCTCTCTCTCTCTCTCTCTCTCTCTCTCTCTCTCTCTAACTTGTTTGTTATTCGTACCTCGTGTACTCCGCCGCCGGCCGACACGGTGGTTGTGCTTTTTCTTCCACGATGGCGCTTATATCATACACCAACAGCTACATTGGCAAAATTTGCTTTGCTATGATATGGTGGTTTGCGGCTGTGGTGTTTCAGAGTTTGGAGATCTCCGGTGGGCCGATTATGAACTCCGTCAACTCACATTGGCGTCCGGCCACCGCGACGTGGTACGGCAGTCCAGAAGGCGACGGAAGCGATGGTAATTTCACTAATTTCAGTAATTTGAGTGATTTGATTTCTGTTTAAAGCAACAAATCTAGTTTTTTATGCAGAAGTGACTTGTCCTCTATGCTTCTTTGATTTGTACATTTCTGTTCAATTTGTTGACTGAAATCAGTGAATGAAACCTGAGTGTGTGTAAATTGTAATAATGTAATTCCACTCTCGTAGGTGGCGCGTGTGGATACGGATCTCTGGTTGATGTGAAGCCATTTAGAGCGCGTGTAGGAGCAGTGAGTCCAATTCTGTTTAAGGCGGGTGAAGGATGTGGGGCATGTTATAAAGTCAAGTGTTTGGATAAATCAATCTGTTCTCGCCGGGCGGTGACCGTTATTATCACCGACGAATGTCCCGGCGGTTACTGCTCCGGTGGAAACACCCATTTTGACCTCAGCGGCGCCGCCTTCGGTCGCATGGCGGTTGCCGGCGATCACAACCAGCTCCGTAACCGCGGCGTACTGAACATCGTTTATCGCCGGTATTCACGCAGTCCTTTAACGGCTTTTAGTTGATTAACAGTCGTTTGTTTTCCTTTTTGGTCAGTTTGGTTTCAGATTTTTATTAAAAAAAATGCATATTTTTAATTAACGTGGATCAATCTTTCTATAAATGCTAGATGGCCCCCACTATTATTCAAAAATGACAACATCCACCCCTTAGTTTTTATTATTTTTCACTAATTAGTTCTTCCAACATATTAAGAGACACTTTCACCATCAAAATCTTTCTAAAAGTTAAAAAAAATCTGAATAATTTTTTATAATCCCTGAAATTCGTCACATTGTTACAACATTTTAAGTTTGTGAACAAACTTAAAACTTAAAACTGTTAAAAACTAAATTTATTATTTCTAAAATTATATTATATTGTTATAACAGTTTTAAGTTTATTTACATAGTTAATAGTTAATAAACTTAAAACTGTTTAAAACTAAATTTAATATTTTTAAAGTTATGTTATATTGTTATAACAATTTTAGGTTTGTTCACAAACTTAAAACTGTTTAAAACTAAATTTAATATCTCTTTGTTTTTCCAAAGAGAAAATTTAACATCTTTAAAATTATGTTATTGAATTACACCGAACTACATAACATAATTATTATTCCAAATACATATTAATTATTTTTATCTAATTTTTATATAAAATATAGGACACCATGCAAATATCCAGGAAGAAACATCGCATTTCACGTAAACGAAGGATCTACAAATTACTGGCTTTCACTTCTGGTCGAATTCGAGGGTGGAGATGGAGATGTTGGATCGATGCATATCAGAGAGGTATAATTTTATATATAAATTTGATAAACAAAATCAATATTTAATGAAAAGAAGTATATAAAAAGATAAAAACAAAATCAATATTTAATAGTAAATCTTAGGTTAATGAAAAGAAGTGGGAATTAAAAAACATGTAATGGGAGAAAAATGCATCTAGAAAAGACGAATAAAGAAATGAAAAATGTGGTGGCGGGCAGATGGGCAAAATAGTCAAAAGAAAGTACTTTTGATCAGCTTTATAAAAACACATACACACACACTTGCATAAAAGAAGCATGGAGAAATCCGAATGTGTCGGATACAGAATATAACACCCTTTTTAACTCAGTGTCCAACATTTTATAGCATACACGATTTCATATAAATAGATGTGGAATTAAAATAATTAGAAAAAGGTTATGTGATTGATTGGTGAAGTTAATATCGTTGGAGGTAGTTAATTCTGATAATGGTTTCGCTTTTGGAGAATTTTTGATTTAATTAATTAAAATAAAACAAAAGCACTAATTTCAACCAACATTTTCCCCAAATTTCATCTTCAATTAGTTTCTACTCCCATTATTGTCCAATCAATCAAAGATATTTCTTATATATATAAAAAGAAAATATAAATCTGATTTTACATATATAGAGACAAATAAAAATTAAATTATTTTTATTATGTTTCATTTTATTTTTTAATCACTAAAATACTATTTTTTTATAACCTAAATAGACTAGTAAAAAAATAAAGTATTTTTATTAAAATATTATCGTTTTATATTGTCGGTAGACAATATGTATTAAAATAATTTTTTTATCATATATAACAAATTATTTTAAATGGTTGTATAATATAAAGATTGTATAATTCTTTAAAACATATATATATTATTGTGTATGACAAAAAAAAATTATATGCATAACTTTTCTTACAAAAAGATTTAATTACACAGAAACGGAGTTATTTCAGTATTTTATCCATTTAGCTGTTATTTTCTAATAATAATTCACTATCAAAAGCTATAAAATAATAAATATATATATTGTGTTTGCCATTTTTTTTTCTCGACATCAAATTATCGAAACCATATAACTTTATCTGTAATAAATGGTCTTTATAAACGTTACAAAATCTATAACGGTTTAATTACGAACAAAATACATGTTCCAAAATACAAATCTAACGTTTTATCTGTGTTAAACACAGGCAAGGTCAACAGAGTGGCTAGAAATGAGCCATGTTTGGGGAGCGAACTGGGTGATAGTTCGAGGACCTCTCAGAGGACCATTTTCCGTCAAACTCACCACCCTGTCCACCAAAAGGACTCTGTCAGCAAGGGATGTGATTCCCGGAAATTGGGCAGTCAAAGCCACTTATACGTCCCGTCTTAACTTTTCCCCTTAACCGTTAACAGTATTAACACTCGTCGAAAGGTTCAAAAGTTTGGTTCCGAAAAAAATATATATGTTTTTACTTTTTACCCCTTTTAATTTTGACATTCCTAAATAAGAAGAAAGCAAAAATACCCAAATCACCTATTCCATCGCAAGGTCAAAAGGGTAATTTTAAGCTAAGACCTATCACATCAAATGTAGCCGTTATATCAGTTGGTGTTTTTTTTTTGGTGATGGAGAAGGGAAAGAAGTAACCGTTGGGAGTGGGTATCCGTTTGGCTTTCTGTGGTTTTTAATATTTAATATTTAATATATAATATATAATATATAATATAGTGTGGTTAAGTCAAGTGGTTGTTTTGTAATTTAGTGTTGTGTTTGAGGGTATTTTGCAGCCCCTCTCCAAAGGGAGAGTGAGCGCGCCTTTTTTTTTTTTTTTTTTTTGGGATTAATATATGTAAACGCTTTTAGGGTGTGAGGACCTTTTGGTCTTTTTATGTAGGCGTGGTGGGTTGGGTTTGGCCTTTTGTATGGTTTGTTGATTATAGTTTGTTGTGCCATGTTGGATTAAATGGAACCTTTTGTATCCTCTCTTCTTCTTTTAATATATATAACATGTGAGTTTTATTTATAATATGTGGATTTGAAGTTTTATAATTCGATTTATGTGAACTTTATATGTCAATATAAGAAAAAAGGTTAATTAAGTGAGGTCACGATCTTATTCATGCATTATAAATTGCAACAGTTGAATTTAGACATACAGTTATTGTTCTGGTTACATATGTTTATGATTATGATTTTTTGATAGTTTGATTTGAAACTTTTATTTTTAATATAAATCACTTACTGAGTTGACAAAAGTTTAATTCGTAGTAGTATCAAGTGTTGTCATTTTTTTGAGATCGAAGGTTCAAGTCTTGTCTGAAATATAAATAGAATTATGAGTAAATTAGATTTGCTCATTTTTTTTAAAAAAAATGGCATAACCTTTAATATCGATTTATTTGATTAAGTCTTTAAAGGCTTTAGTGAATGTTAAGAGATTTACCAAGACTCGAAGAGCGCCTCGTTGAGCTGAGAATGCAGGACGCAATGGTTTGCAAAATGGCGTGATTTATACGCACTATGCACTTCACCGGTCAGTGGGAGCTGAAGAGTTTTTATTTTTAGCAAGGTCTGGTTGGATCGACCCGATCAACGTTGGCTTCGTGATAAGCGTGTGGAAGCATTTAGAAGCCTCCATAAAACATGTTGCTTGGAGAGTGAGGGGCTCCAACCAGGGTTTGACCTAGTCAAACTATGTGACACGTGGCAAGTCGTGCTAGGGTTGTCCTCGTCATTAGTCCATGTTTTTTTGGAGTCTCTGGGGGATTTTACAACTATAAATATAACTCTCTCTGAGACATATTTATCACCCTAAAAGTGAAAATCTCATGTTCTATCTATCTCTCTTTGCGATTTGCAAGCATGAAACTCTAGTTCTTCAAAGTTTATGAGTATTCACTTTGTCTTTATCGATTCTTTCATAGTTGTTGGAAAGAGCGATAATTTTCATTAAATCATGGGTTTCACGTTGAAGCTTACACATGTGATTCGAAATCCACAAGTGGTTGGATTTATACTCTAGCTGGAGGGGTTATTTCTTGGGGAAGAGATATAAATATACATGTATAGCTCACGCAATGATGGCGGTCGAGCTTATTTTCTTAGCATCAGTAAGGAAAAGAGGCGTAGTGGATTAAAGATCTACTTTTCGATATTCATCTATAGGATATTCCAATGTCTTATATTCTCATATATTGAGAGTGAGATTACACAGTCTATATAATGTTGTGTATACTAGGAATTCAAGACACATTGGTCTTCAACACAATTATGTTAAACAATAAGTGGTATAATCAAAGTGATATATATATATATATATATATATATATATATATATATATATATATATATATATATATATGCAGATAAGTAGGAACTTGGCATATTTACAAAACATATGACGGAGATTTGGTTGGAACTACCATGATAGATATAGGCCTAAAAGCACAATAGAGTCATTTAGTGATGGAAACCTAACTTGCCATTTGTGCTCATAAATCTCAAGTATACAAGATAATAACGAATTCGTTAACGATAAAAGATATTGTCAATAAAGATAGATCCATGTAAGGTATGATAGTACATCACTACTGATAACGAGGTTGAGTTAAAATTCATAATAACGTTTTAGAGACATCTAAACAATAAAGGTATTGTAAAACTTTTGACTTTATGAACTAGAGATGGTGTTGCCTCAAATAAAGATTAGTGTTTTATCTTCTAGAGGGTCATGAAAAGGTTTTACAACAAATGACGGTTTCACACTCGGTAAGAACCCAAAACTGGATGGTGATATGTGGGGTAAACTAGACAGGTCATAAAGTTCTTGGTTTAAATCTATAAGCATACCACTGAATCGGCCTCTTCTTGTTTGTCTATATTAAATGAGGGTTTAATCTTCATGACACTAATGGAAATCATCTCTTTTAGTTACAGGAAATTTTCTTGTTTTTTATGGGTTGTTGGAAATGTAATGGGTTAAATGCAAGCTCTCAAGTTTCCTATTATCCTATCTAGGCGGGAGGACAAACTATTAGTGAGTATATATTGATTTCCTTTCCTTAAGCCTTTAAAGCTTTAACGAAGGTAAGGGGATGGGTCAAGTCCATACACGTGTCTAGTCGAAACGAGGACACGAGACACGAGGTTCGTGAAAATTATATGATTTAGGCACATTTTTCACTTTACACGCTACATTGGTCGTAGATTTTCTACAACTATAAATACAACTATCCTGGAGATGTATTCCTCACAAAAAAATCAAGATCTCATCTTCAACTTCTCTTTCTAAGATTTGCAACAAGGCGATTCCAATTATTCCAAGTTTTCGAGTATGCACTTTGTGTTTATTAGAGTTTCCATGGTTGTTGGAAAGAACGGTAATTTTCATTAAATCATGGATTCCATCTCATATTTTAATTCGCCCGACAATGGAACAATCCTTTTCTATATTTCTTATGATTATAATTGATCGCAAAAGATCAATCTAATTTCTAAATGAAACTTAGTAATTAAGTAATAATGATATGATTTATTATATCTAACGATTTGTTATATAATTTTTAATATTATTTGTGGTTGGATTGCTTTGAGATTTACTTACAATTCAATATTAGCTTACACCATTAATTGTTAGATTATTTGTTTGTGAAATATGAAATACATGGCAATACCGATTTAATAGTGACTTTAATTTATAAATAAATAATTAAAAAAAAAATCACCTTTAAACTCAGTTCGCTCCAAACCCATTTATAGAACCTGGCTTTTTGTCCTTCATTTTATGGGATGCAATCAACACTTTGACAAACTTTCACACTTTTGTAAAGATATACAAAAATAACTGCTAACAGCAAATTAAAGTTAAAAATAAAAATAACTGGTAACAGCAAATTAAAGTTATAATTTTTATTTATGTAGAAATATCTGACCAAAATAACAGTAAGCTTTTAAATTTTATAAAATTAGGTGAAATATAAAAAGTTAAAAGCTTACAAAACTATTTGAAATATGTTTTCGATAATAAGATATTAGTAAAAAAAAAAATCGTGCTTATAACGAAACTTTTTGTTTTTTGTTTTAAGTTTTTTCTTTTTCAAAAACTAAAAGTTGAAAATTTTAAAAAATTCGCTGTCAAACTCTTATTGGTGTTAAACCACATTCCCATTAACAACTTCAAATTTAGGCTTTTGTTTAGTGGTGTTAAAATCACATTCCCATTAACAATCTCAAATTTAGGCTTTTATTTTTAGTAATCAACCCATATTTGCGACTCTTAACAAAGTAAATTCTCAATTTCTAATCTTCATCTTTCTAAACCCTTCTATCGCCAAATCCTTATATAGTTCCTATAGGGTGTTGATTGGTCAAGAGACAAAATGAACAGCTGTATAAAATTTAATTTTTTTAATTATATATTTTTATTTAAAAATAAAAAATTATAATAACGATAAGGGATTAATGGCCCTTTATTTATGGTTCGTCCCAAACCTTTGAGTATATATTTACTTTCTTAGGACCGATCCTGATAGTGACACTTATAAAATCTAAACTTTGTATACCATATGTATATACTACTATATGATATATTCATGTAATTTATAACTTCAATTACATTTATTAGAATTTTATGAAGTTTTACACACAATGTAATATGATTCACAAAATATAACATACAATATGGGATGAAAAACACACAGTGTAATATGATTCACAAAATATAACATGCAATATGTTGTTAAGGAATAGAAAACACCACCCCAGGTTAACACCTCGTAGCTATATATGGAGTTCTCAATATTGCTCGATGCTAGTTAAGAGAGAAAATGGCATATAACCGTTGTTTCAACGGTCGAATTATATATATATATATATATATATATATATATATATATATATATATATATATATATATATACACACATGCACAGAGGATCATGTGAAGACATATTTTTCGATGAGGACACCTTAAAATTTAAAAAAAAAAATTGGATCATTAAAATTGGATCATGGATCATTTTTATGATCCATGATTCAATTTTAATGATCCAAAAAAATTTTCACTTCAATATAGTATTATGCTTGATTATATATATATATATATATATATATATATATATATATATATATATATATATATATATATATATATATGTTCAGGTTCATTTGAGACTATTCTAATTTTGTGAAACCGTAAGACCAAATCTAAAAACAATTTTAAAATGCAAAATAAATGGAAAAATCCAAAAACTCTTTTTTTAAATATTATTTTCAGAACTTGAATTAAATAAAAAAAAATTTAAAAATAAAAAAAACTTCCGTTTTTTTTTTAAAAATAAGTGAAATATTCTAATTGGAATATTACACTGACATATTCTAAAAAATAATTTTAAAATGCAGAATAAATGGAAAAATCTAAAAATTCTTTTTTTAAATATTATTTTCGAAACTTAAATTAACTAAAATAAATACAAATAAATAAAAATAAATTCCATTTTTTTTGAAAAATACGATAAATATTCTAATAGAATATTACACTAATATATTCTAAAAAATAATTTTAAAATGCAAAATAAATGGAAAAATCCAAACATTCTTTTTTTAAATATTATTTTCGGAACTTGAATTAAATATAAAAAAATTTAAAAAAAAATAAAAAAAAATAAAAAAATGTGTCTCACGGTCTCACAAAATTAGGCCGCCTCACATTAATCTAACCCTATATATATATATATATATATATATATATATATATATATATATATATATATATATATATATA